CATGTCTTCGAATATAGCATTTCTTTAGCAAATAAACGTATTATCGTTTGCTTACAATTTATTTTGCATTACTTCCAGTGGCAGGACAAGGATAGACATCAAAAGAATGTGCTAAGATATGATTGCCCTCGCGCTGTAGATACCATGAATTGTGAATATTTAGAGATTATTTTTCTATTCAAATAAGAACCATTATTTAACAAACGCTTACTGCGGTTTGCTTAAAGATTGAAAAGATATAACTAAGTTAGGAAGTAACTAGAACTTAACCGAAATAACTATTGATAAATCCACATTAAGGTATATCTGAAATCAATACTACAATTTTATTATAATTTAGACTTTCGCGTTCACTATTAATACTTTAATGTTTAACAGGATTTTACGCGCGATTTTTAATATTTAAAGAGATTTAACAAGAGTCTGCTATGACCATGGCAGTTGTAACCCTGCCGAAACATAACATATCAAGACTACAACCTTAAACGATAGCTATTCCACAAAACAAAAAATATCGGCGAAAATTATTCGATTGACTTGTCCTAATCGGTGTACATCAGAGAAAAAAAAGACATCTGCAGAGTAGTAACGAGTGTGTTGCCGGCAAGGTTGTTAGATTTTGAAGGTTTGAGAATAGGGGGAGGGAAAGGATCGTGCCTTCAGTCACTCACACGGTGAAACACAAAGCTGTAGTTGTTTCACGAAGGTTTTCTGTGAGACCCTGGTATTATTCATGTCCAGCGGACCTATTCGTCCCGTAGCATGGCCCACACTTATTATAATTCATTATATCTAACCGGACTTTCGGACCTTGTAAGTTGTGATAAATTCAAGAAACTATTTAGGAATAATTGCTCATAACAAAAATGAACTACAGAACCATTTTCATCCTCCATTATTTTTTGTCATAGTACTGTCACCGCTTTAACGTCACGATTACATTCGGCAGAAGAATTCCCTTTGATGATATCACGAATCTTTTTACGATATTATGAATCTTCTATTTGCGTCTTTTTACGCGTAAAAATGGATCTTTTAAGTAAAAAACCTTTTGGTGAGATCCTAACTAATCTACATGGTCTGTGGGGTATCTTAAATAGCGCTTTGTTATTAAATTAAACGTCACTATTGTCGAAGCCGCCATCTTGTTTTTGTTTTGACAGTTCTCTAATGAGGTACTTTTTAGAAAAGGTAAGTATTTAGTGTCGACATTGGATTAGTTCTAGAGGAAATTAGCAGTAGTGATGCTTATTTATATTGAAACAATGCTATTTGCTACTTATTCTCATTAAACTATGTTACTAATAACGTTGGATTTACACAAGAATTACTGTCCCCTAAATGAAAGGGGATTTCAATAACCCACTCTTGACTGGTGGGTGGAAGAGTGTCCGTTACCCAGGCCAGATGTTGTCGACAATGGTCATTTGAATCTTATAGATAATTAGTTGTGCGGCTTCTGTAATTGTTGCGCACATTTTTAAATTAGTTGCGCTTATAGTTTTTTAATTATTTCACAAAAACATTTCCTGCTGGCGTAACGTTACCACAGCCAGACCTTTTTCTTTCTAATGGGAATATTTAAATAAATATTAGCTATAAAATTAGTTGTCTAGATAAAGTAAATGTTGTGCCTTATTTTGTATTTGTTCTTTCTTCGGTTGCGAAGTTATTCGAGATTTTGCTGCGGTAACGTTTTTGGTTTTGCTAGATCTTTGAAATGGTTAAGCGGATTCTTATCATATTTTGTACACGACTTCCGAGGACTTAGTTTAAATTTGTTGTGCAATAACAAAACCAAAATAATGCATATTTTAAAGGTTTTTTCATTAAATAGAAAAACACTTCAATTGACCCCAGCACTCTCAATAAGAAGTCTAAAGACTTACTTTAAACGTAATTTTAAAGCTTGTAACTGCCTTCAAATGTATGTGAAGTTTCATTAGTATCCCGTAAGTATTTAACAAGTTATGATGATATTCAGTTCTTCACGAGCACGGTCTTAATGCACGCGGTGTTATTTGGCCACTGGATTGGATATATGAACTGAATGCTATGTCAATAATTAGTTGTTTAGATCAGTTGTATATCAGTAAAATTTCAGCTCAATACATTGTATAATTAATGAGATAATACTATGAAAGTCATTAGGTAGGAAGTGAATGACCGTGGTAAGCCGACCAAGTTTAGGTGGTTACGAAAAAGCGAAAACGCAAAACATTGTACTATCTTTTGAAATGTTTAGTATAATACACCTTACAATTTTGGTACAGACGCGTACACTGTTTAATACCTATATAATAATAATAATAATATACTACTCTGTCAAGAAAGTACCGGGAAAAAGTCAATAATACACAAAATGTTTGTTATTCATCTAAATTTATTTTATCACCTTCAAAGTATGCTCCTTCAGAAACGATACACTTACGCCAACAAATAATCCAATCATCGAAACTTTTTTTAAACGCTGTTTCCGGAATTGAGTTCAGTGCTCGCCGCGAACTCTCCTTTATGTCTTGTAACGATTGAAAACGGGTGCCACGAAGGGGTAATTTGAGTGTGGGAAAAAGAAAGAAGTCGGCTGGAGCCATATCTGGTGAATATGGTGGCTGCTCGATGGTGTTTGTTGAGTGTTTGGACAAAAAATCGTTTACAATGATGGCCTTGTGCAAAGGCGCATTATCGTAATGCAAATCCAAGAATTTTCTTTCCACATTTCTGGCCCTTTTCGTCGAATTTGTTCTCTTAAACGCCGCATAACGCTCAAATAATATTCTTTATTTACCGTTTGACCTTCGGGCAAGAATTCTGAGTGCACAACACCGCGATAGTCAAAGAAAACAGTCAACATGACTTTGACTTTTGATCGACTTTGACGTGGTTTTTTCGGTTTTGATTCAGTTGGAAGGCGCCATTCCGAAGCTTGTTGACTAGTTTGCATCTCAAACTCGTAAACCCACGTCTCGTCACCAGTAACAATGCGTTTCATGAATGTTGGGTCGGTATTGACTCGTTCTAGCATGTCCTCAGCGACTTTCATGCGATTTAGTTTTTGAAGAAAATTCAGGTCTTTTGGGACTAGCCGAGCCGCAACACGTTTCATACCCAAATTATTTGTTAAAATGGTACGGATCGACTCGTGAGATACAGAAAGTTCGGCGGCCATCTCTCTCAAACTTGAATGAGGATTTTCAGTCACTATTTCCTTCACTTTTGCGATGTTAACTTCAGTTGCAGACGTTGATGGCCTACCAGAACGAGGCAAATCTTCCATCACATCTCGACCGCTTTTGAACGCTTTGTACCACTCATAAGCACGTGTTTTCGATAAAGTCGATTCACCGTATGCCTTCTGTAACATTTTGAGTGCCTCCGAACACGAAATTTCATTGGCGATGCAAAATTTAAGACAAACTCTTTGTTCGATGTTTTTGTCCATTATGAAATTCGCAATACACACTAGATATTATAAAACTAAAAACAGCACTGTTTTTAATATAAATAACATATGCAACTCAAATTCCGCGCCAAAATAGAAAACAGTTATGCCAATCTAACAACAACAAAAAAAAATTAAAATTCGAATTTGGAACCATAAAAAAAACATTCATTCCCGATACTTTGTTGACTGAATGTAAAAGAAAACATTATCTTCCAGTTCCACAAAATTATCAAAAATCATCGCTAGAGCATGCCGTTCGGTAGGACGCAGGAGGAGTGGGGTAATAAATACATTGTTTGCATAACGCACTCAGTCTTGCCAGAAGGTTACTTTTGTAACCTTTTAGATGATTTTTGAACTGCATTTTGAAATAGAAATGACAAGGACGGGTGATGTTTAATCAGTTGCTAAGCAACACAAGTTTTTATAAGTAAGGGAGTAAAAGTTCAATTGAAATGATTATTTTACCTTTCAATTAAAATACTTCAATAATCATGTAGTTTTTTTTTAAACTTTTGTACATGTCTGTACTAAATTTATAACACTATCCTACATATTTTAGAAGGTACCATAATGTTCCGCGTTTTCGCTTTTTCGTAACCACCTAAACTTGGTCGGCTTACCACGGTCATTCAAAATTAACTAAAATTCGCGGGTTACTCACGTGTAAATGTTGAGAAAAGCTCTACTAGTTTCGACGTCGCGCAGCCTACTAGGCTGCGCGACGTCGCCGCGTCCGCGCACGCTGCTCATGAGGAAGAACCCCTCTGTGGTTCGAAACTAGTAGAGCTTTTCTCAACATTTACACGTGAGTAACCCGCGAATTTTAGTTAATTTAGTATGTCTCACGATAGTTATTATAAAAACACGGTCATTCACTTCCTAATGACTTTCATAGTATTATCTCATTAATTATACAATGTATTGAGCTGAAATTTTACTGATATACAACTGATCTAAACAACTAATTATTGACATAACATTCAGTTCATATATCCAATCCAGTGGCCAAATAACACCGCGTGCATTAAGACCGTGCTCGTGAAGAACTGAATATCATCATAACTTGTTAAATACTTACGGGATACTAATGAAACTTCACATACATTTGAAGGCAGTTACAAGCTTTAAAATTACGTTTAAAGTAAGTCTTTAGACTTCTTATTGAGAGAGCTGGGGCCAATTGAAGTGATTTTCTATTCAATGAAAAAACCTTTAAAATATGCATTATTTTGGTTTTGTTATTGCACAACAAATTTAAACTAAGTCCTCGGAAGTCGTGTACAAAATATGATAAGAATCCGCTTAACTATTTCAAAGATCTAGCAAAACCGAAAACGTTACCGCAGCAAAATCTCGAATAACTTCGCAACCGAAGAAAGAACAAATACAAAATAAGGCACAACATTTACTTTATCTAGACAACAAATTTTATAGCTAATATTTATTTAAATATTCCCATTAGAAAGAAAAAGGTCTGGCTGTGGTAACGTTACGCCAGCAGGAAATGTTTTTGTGAAATAATTAAAAAACTATAAGCGCAACAAATTTAAAAATGTGCGCAACAATTACAGAAGCCGCACAACTAATTATCTATAAGATTCAAATGACCATTGTCGATAACATCTGGCCTGGGTAACGGACACGGTGGAAGATTATATTCTATCAGGTTGAGATGTCCAGATAGCGCTTTTTTGGAATAAAATCATCAAATGACTTCTCTCGTCCTGGGTAGAATAAAAGGGAGTGCCAGACTGGCTAATCCAACGCGTTCCTTCTTCTATTTGATACATTATTAGGCTTGCACCCGCAACTTAATTACAGAGTCCTTAAGTCACCTATTCACCCCGGAGATGAATGAACATATGTATACAATGGTACATATGAATCTATATTAAAAAATAAACAATCGAATTCTAAATTCAAAATAATAAGACACAATATAAAAATTGAAAAAAAAACAACATTCCATTTTCAAAGCGCACCCTATACCAATTATTTTTCTGCTTTACTCTAAAAAGCCGGTAGCTGGCTGTGCAGTTCCAGTCACCTCACAGATATTGACAGGCACAATACAAAATAATATTCGAACGAATGCCTCTATTATATTTGCTTTGAATTCCGAATGTACTTTTATAACATTCGTTCGCATTACGTTCAGTCACTGTGAACACGGGAAAAAGTGAACGAGTGAACGGGAGAACTACTTACGTTTTGACGTTACATTTTTGAATTTGAATTTTCAAAGCAGGAATGCTTTGACTTCTAAATTGTTAGATTTTGTTGTACAAAAGGGAATATTGAGCTTTTACACTAAATTGAAAAATTAAAAAATGAAGCTTTTATTCCGATCATAATTTATTGATGTCGTAAATATTTTTTTATTCAACAGGTCGGCAAACGAGCAGGCGGATTACCTGATGGTAAGCAATCAGCGCCGCCCATAGACACCCACAACGGAGGAGTGACGAGTACGTTGCCGACTTTTTAAGGACTAGGGTTTTGGAGATTTAGGGATTGGTGAGGAACGGGAAGGATTGGGCCTCCGGTAACCTCATTCACATAGCGAAACTCTGTGGTATCACTCCGGTCAAGGCGACCCTTTCGTGCCGAAGCATGGTTCTCCCACACTTGTTTAACAGGGGTGTCATTCTGTAAGACTTCATTCTAAACTTCGAATCTGAATCCGCTGTGAGTAGTAGTACACTAGCGCTACACTTGCGAGTTGAACTAAATTGACAGCAACATTTTGATAGATAAAGTATGAGATGACGTTAAAAGTGGCATTCTAAAATTTAATTTCCCCGTCACTTCGACGCTCACTTCGCACTCGAACAAGATTCAAAATAAAACAAATTTTATAGAATCGACGTGCAGATAAACTTTAATTGAATTTGAATTAAATCATAATGAAAATAGTTATGCATACATGTGTAAAGAGTAACTGGCACAATACGATCTGGAATATCCCCAACCTATTCTGACCTATTTCGCATAAGAATTTTTGAAGAAACAAAAAGAAAACTATAAGCAAGTACCTACATTACGCGTAATGTTTTGTGGAATTGAATATGTCACAGGATTGGGAGCCATCCGGGCGTAATGGACACCTTTCAACCCCAGCGCACGTATTAGGCGTGAGGCGTATTTATCATCACAGGTATGAGTAACAGGTATCACATAGATACAAATAACAGAGAGCCTGATGCAAATTGCCAATACACAATTAAAACGTTTATGACATTAGGCTCTCTGATTGGACTGCTGCATGGTTGGCGCGACGGCTGGGAAACTGACTGCGGTGCAACGTGTCGAAAGATCATTCGCGCACGGAACAACTCTTTGTGTGATCAACAATTAACTTACCAGAGGGCTAAATGCGGTAACGTTTCGTTGACGTGAGCAAAGTCACACTAGGGACATTACAGCTCAAACCACCATTACAGTTTAAACGCTAGTCTGTTTTTTTTGGGAAAATCATCAAATGTCTTCTCGCGCCCTGGATGGGGTGGAAGGCACTAACTAAAAACCACCCCGTTTCTTCTCCTGCAGCTCCTCCGACCAGGGGCTGCAGTACATTATTTCTTTCACCTTTGTCATGTCAGCCAATAGACCACCACAGACGGGGCCCTATATAGACCTGATGTTCAGCCGGGGTTGTGGGATAAGCGCAATGAGGCACCGCGACCTCGGCCCACAGCAAGAAAAGGAACGGGTGGGTATTTAGTCAGTAACAGTCTGACATTGTTGGGCGGGAAGAGTCATTTGATGAATTTATACTCATAAAAAACCTTTGTTATAGCACCTGTATCAAAATGTGCAATTATACCTACTATAGAATGTTATCTGTGACTAAATAACAGGTATTGAGAACTGGTATCTTAACAGGTATAGTATCGTATTCGACATACTATAGCCCAACACTAGTGCCAATGCTACAAATAAAGCCATTTTGTACAGATCTAAAGAAAAACACATTTGTATACTTGTATGTACACGTCAAGGAGTATATTCAAAGGGTTTTTGCGTTAGTGACAGTATGAATTGATAGGATTTACGTTCCTATGTCTTGAGTTGTTGTGGTTCTTGGTTTTTGTTCTCTTTTGCTTGCGTTTACTTTTTAAAGGGGAGGGAGGGGCATATTTCGACAAGCATGGACGGCTCGTCCGGAGTGATACCACGGCCACGTGCCACGGCCTCACAGAAAATCGGTGTGAAGTAATACTTAGATTGTGTTTCACCGTGTGGGTGAGGGCACGGGACGCCCAATCCCCCCCCCCATTTTCGATACTTTGATCTCTAATAACACACAAGGCTGTACCGGCCGGTAAAGCACTTGTAGTAACTCCTTTAGTATTACGAGTGTTTTGGGCCGCTTGGGCGGCGCTGATTGCTTACCATGAGAGAATCCGTCCGATCGTTTTGCGACATCAAAAAAGAGGACACCAGAAATATCCGATTAATATGATTGAAAACGCGAAAGTTATATTGAAGGCTGGATGTTTGTTTCTTTTTAACGCAAAACCTACTAAACGGATTTAAATGATTTCTGGCATAGAGTCTATAGTAGTCTGTAATAACAAGTAGATTACTTAAAAAATCATACATTTTCGTTAGATTATCTAATGAAAGTTTCATTTCACAAAACTTTAACTATTAGATTACTATTATTTTAAAGTTTGTTTCAAACAATAGGTATTTTGAGGCGATCCGGACAAGGACTGCACCGTTGACGCTTTGGATGGGCAAACTGTCATATTGCGTGTCGATTCCCGCACGAAACAACTCCTCTTATAATCCCCAAAGGGTTGTGCTGGTTTTTAATGTGCTGGGTATGTGAAATTATATGTTTTAATCATGTCACAATTTTACAGGGGAAAATTCTACTACAAAAAAGACGAAATCGTGAGCCAAAGTTAGTACATTTTTATATACTTTAGTCGTCTTGTTAAAGATGTCTCGAACGTCTCAAGTGCCACTTAGGTACATCTTGGCAAAATGTGTGATACTCCTGTGATGATGTAAGGAACTAATACGAATATTATACTTTATTTAATTTGGAAAATGAACGTCTGGGTACTTTAGTTGATTTAATATGTTTTCGCATTAGCGTTGAAGATATAATGTAGGTAATAATTCTCTCATGATAAGGATAAAAAATATAATGCTTTTTAACCTTGTTATTTTCGAAAAGGTAGGTACATAATGTTTGTTTAAGGTTAATCAACTATTCACCAATTTGTTTGTCTTTTTTTATTATTTTTGTAGGTATTTATATACACAAATTTACCTCATTCATAATTTTAAGTATACGTAGGTACTACACATCACCATTGGAGTTTCTTCATCCAATTAAAAAACAACGAAATAGTTTCTAATATTTGTAAATCAAAAGCAAACAAAGCAAAACCAACATAAAAGTAAAATAATCAAAAGACTTCTTTCACCCAGGGTACAGTGACAGGAAGTTTCTGACTTTTACTGACTAAAACTCCTCGTTCCATCTCCTGCTCCAGGCTAAGGCCGGTACTTTATGGCCCTTGCCCAGCGACCCATGAAACGAAACTGGCGTTACAATTTGTCAAATGAGTGAGTTTACCGGACCATAATTCTCCACAACTCTTCTCAATCCTCTAATAGACTTTTTTTAATAACGTTGCCCCGCACTACGATTTTCTCCTGTGTCGTGGTTTACAAACATACAATTTTACATGCACATGACACACATGATTTGTGGGTCACACAAAGAGTTGTTCCGTGCGGGAATCGAGCCCGCGACACGTTGACCAGTTGCCCATCGCCACACGGTAGGCAGTTGCCCAGCCACCGCACCAACCGTGCAGACTTACTACGCACGGTACTATTTATCTAGAAGCGAAGCGAAATAAAACAGTCGACCAGTCTGCTCGTTTCTCATCTATACTGTATAAAAAAAAAGAAAAAGACACCCGTACAGACATAATACAGACACGTTAAATTAAAAGGAAAACGTTAAATAACGATAAACGGTACCATTATGGTCATAGAAAGTATCAAAACGCCATTCAGTTTTATCTGTCCGTAAGTAAACGAGTGACCTCGAAATATTTTTTCCGTTCCACATAAACTGAAAAAATGGTTACTTTATCGACATTTTGAGTTATAATGTTATATATATACCTTTGCAGTTATGATGTTACGTGTTAAACACAACCTAACCCTTCGAATAAGGTAAGATTTTCATATATAAGTTTCTGTAACTTGTTCGTCCGTTAGATTATAGGTCCCTGAGGCATCTTGAAACTTGTCGACCGCGCTGTTGTACAGTTACGTAATTAATTCGTACAATATAATTAATTCTTAGGATGATTTGGTCGACTCAAAAACTTACAAATTTGCTACCAGCACAGTGTGCCTACAAAGGGCTCTTTTTATGTTATAGTTCGGCAAACGAGCAGACGGATAACCTGATAGTAAGCAATCAGCGCCGCCCATGGACATGGCAATGGAGGAGTTACGAGTGTGTTGCCGACCTTTTATTAGGGACTAGGGATTTGGAGATTTAGGATTGGGGAAGGGTCCGGAGAGGGAAGGACACAACGCTGTGGTTGTTTCACGCCGGTTTCCTGTGAGGCCGTGGTATCACTCCGGTCGAGCCGACCCATTCGTGCCGAAGCATGGCTCTCGCAAACTTTAAAGCTGTTGCAAAGGTCTGTTTTTATACAAAAAAGGTTTGAGCATTAATCACCACGCTTGCTCAAAACAGATTGGAAATATCTCCGAAAACTACGAAAAATCAAATACATATTCAATAACATACAAATATAATTAAAAATAATAATATGTCATCGTATCTTCCAAAATTCTATTAGCAAAACCAGCAGTGAATTAAAAATTTAAAATTAAACCCGTATTCTAAATTAATCAGTTCAATTCACACAAGAAAACATACTCTAACATTTTATTTGGAGTTCCCAAACAAAAATGGCCGTCCATAAGTCGAATGCTTTTTCAAACGTCTTAAGAAACATTTATCAAAATATTTCCCATTGTTCCCAGTACTGAATGAGGCAATAAATATTGTAACATTTGCTTGTAAAACTAGTTCGAAGCAAATCAACGTTTTATCGAATACTAGCTTGGGCCGTGGCTTCGTTCGTATCAAAAATAGTGTGAATTAAAAAAAATGTTTATACATCATGCGTTATTGTAGTCGCGGGTGAAGCGCAATAAGGTACCGTGGCCTTGGTCTGAAGCAGGAAAAGGAAACGCGACGGGGTTTTTAGTCAGTAAGAGTCTGGCACTCCATCATGCCATAGCTCGGGAAGGTGAAATTTTTTGATAATTTTCCCTCCAAAAAAAGGGTAGTATTATCGAAGTACACATATTACATTATAAATAGACACATATGTATAAAAACGTTTGTTTTTTTTTTAATTTCAGAGGCATACAATTATCAAAATTAGACATACAAAATTTCTATTCTTATAATTATTTCACGAATGTTTTGTCAACCTACAAGAATGACTACTTTATATTTCAGTAAAACCACATTTACATTATTTTCATCCGTTTTCGAGTTTAATAAAACAGACATACAGACTTGAGAAGGGATGTTTTTGTATTACAATGTTTGGATTACAAAACGTGTACGGAACACACTCCGGTACCCTTCGTATGGCCGTCAAGACTGACTTATAGCTTTGCCAAGAGCTTTATTTCAAATACATAGACGGCTATAAAATATTGCTTTTTTGAAAATGACATAAATTTTAGAAGCAAAATGCTGCAATTTTTGGGTAAACGATACTTTGCATGTTGTTGACAGTTTTGAGATTAGTAAGTTATTGATTTTAAAAAAAATACCTTGTTGCTTTTTAACAAATGGTTAAACAGAATTTAAACATGCAGCAGGAAAAGGAATACGGCACAGCGACCTCGGCCCGAAGCGGGAGAAGGAACGGGGGGTTTTTAGTCAGTAAGAGTCTGATTCTCTCTCGCCTTACCCTGGGCGGGAGATCAGACGGCCGATTCGTACATTTTTTTTAAAAAAAAACGTTGGCCCACATTAGGATTTTCTCCTGTGTCGTGGGTGCATTTACAAACATACGATTTCACATGCACATCACACCCAGACCCGGAACAACAATCTGTGGATCACACAAAGAGTTGTTCCGTGCGGGAATTGAACCCGCGACACGTTGCGCGTCAGCGAGTTGCCCAGCCACCGCGCCAACCGTGCAGTCGAACTGTAAAGTACTGAAGCATGGCTCTACAATACTTATTCTTCGCTGTAAATGTTTGTCCAAATATTGGTCCAAAATAGTATTGAAACAATCATCGATATTTGTTAGGCTAATAAAAAGCATATTTGTTTAGATTGCTGTCCTTAAATCCAACACATTCTTAAAGTCACAGTCATCACAAAAGTTTTGAGATTGTAAAAGATTTTAGTACAAAAGAAGTTACGAGTGCTTTGCCGGGCTTTTTGGGCTGAGGGTTTCGGAGATTTATAGATTGGGAAAGGAGAAAATTCTGGCTTCCAGAAACCTGACTCACATGAAAGAAAGAAAGAAAAAATACACATAAGACACAAAATAAAACGTGTATAAAAATTAAAACAAAAAAGAAAAACATTGTTATACAATTTAATAAAGAGTAATGTAAGGAAAATATGCGTCCCAAGCACGCGAAATGGACCACGCTCAGCATATGCAGCGATACTATGCGAGACAGTGTCGCAGCGCTAATTTTCGGCGATGGCCGACAAGTAACATTTGGACTTGATATGACGAAACACAAAGCTGTGGTAGTTCCACGCAGGTTCTCTTTAAGATCGTGGTAACACTCTAGTCGTGCCATCATGATCTCACACTCGCACTTTATCTCAAAAGCAAAACTTTTAAAGCACCTCTCCAACTCTCAAACAGGCAACGACGGTATCCCCAAACTAGCGACGAACCGTAAAGTATAAGATACATAATTAATGGAACCGAAATGCTAATTACTACTCACGAGTAAGAAAATCTTGTTACAGGGACGAGACATGACAGAATTGCTTTTGCATAAATAATTATATGCTTGTGTGCGCAGACTTGGCATAAGTAAATTTTCTTCGTCACATATCAACCATCTTGCTTAGAGACGGTATTTTGCGCTTATTTTACTCAACATTTTTATAACGTGTTGCGACGTGTCTTTTTGAGGGATCTTTTGCAAAGATAGAGGATTTTTACTCTCCTCTCTTGTAAGCCAACGCTAAGAAGCTTTACTGATAGCAAGGCTTGAACGCAATGATATTAACTAGAATTATCCCAGACTAGGCTTGGAGCAGTTTAATTACAAATAAAATCCAAACTAATATTATAAATGCGAAAGTCACTCTGTCTGTCTAACCAATTTTTGTGAAATTTGTTACAGACATAATTTGGAACTTAAAAAAGGACATAGAATGGTTTTTTTACAATAAACCTGCAGGAAGTCACTATTCCAAACATACATATTTCGCGGACAAAGTCGCGGCCAAAAGCTAGTATTAAATACTATTCATACTTTAAGCATTCTTAACAAAATTTGTCTAAATGTCGTAGTACCATGCTTACCATACTACTGGATATCTCCGGCCACCGTAAGCGCGGGTCTGCGGACGGCGAGTAAGGGTAGCTCGCCGCCCGACCAGAACCAGACCCGAGAGTACCTACGGTGCGTAGCGTTCCGCGCGCGCCTCAAAGAGACAATAGACCACCACAGACGGGGCCAGCCGGGGTTGCGGGGTAAGCGCAATGAGGCACCGCGACCTCAGCCCAGAGCAGGAGAAGGAACAGAGGGGTTTTTAGTCAGTAAGAGTCTGACACTCCCTCTCGCCCGGCCCTGGGTGGAAGAAGTCATTTGATGATTTTCCCCTCACAAAAAAAACATGCTACTGGACTGAGCTGGAGTGACATCGCGGCTTTAAATACATCCTGCGTGAAACAACGCAAGCATTGCATTTCATCGTGTGACAGAGATTACCGGAGGCTTAACCCTTTTCCCTTCCCATTACCTCCTCATTTCTCCAAACACCCTAATCCTCTAATCCATAACTTTTAAATGGATAGCAACGCGATGGTAACTACTCTGTGTTGCTGATGTCCATGGGCGGCGCTGATTGCTTAACATCAGGTAATCAGTCTGCTCACATGTGGTATTCAATGCGTGTAACTGCCACCGTTCACCATAAAAATAGCAACCATTTTACACACACGCTCGTAAAAAGCTCAACTCATAAAAAGAACAAGAAATATAAATAGCAACCACAAAATGAAAATGAGCTCAAAATTAAACCGAATAAAAGTCAATTTTGTGTAATAAAATGAATTTAACATAATTAGTGGCCAAATTAATTGGTGCACACATTTTGTTTATACCATATTCCGGGAGTACTAATGAGGGGTAATTCAGCAAATAGGGTAATTACCCCCTCATACATAACTGGGGTAAACAAGGGTAAGCAGAGATCTGCTCGTTCATTAGAACTCGATTGTTTGAATAAACACAGGTTATACGTATCATGTTACTGTTATTATTTTGAAATGGGTAAACAGTGAAACGCCTGTTAGTATTGCTCTTACTTTGGTTTCGAAAATGTGTAGTGTTTTTGATTCAGTTCAGTTTGTAGAGGTAAATAAATATTGACACGATATTGAGTTAAATACTTAATGCTGGTATACATGAAGAGCTAATTAGCTACGAAGTAATGACTTTGGCTTTTTTTACTGCTAAAAGTTAGTTCAAAAATACATCATCAGATCTTTAGCCTATAAGTGCCCATTACTAAATTTCATAGAGAAGGTTTGAGCAGTAATCAATCACCGCGTTTGCTCAAGGCGGATTGACGATCTCAAACCTATAATTAAAAATACCTCAGGATGTTTTCCTCCACAGTACATCAGAGGAATCTAAAAAAACTTAAAAGTAACAGTGGTACACGCCAGATTCTGATTCCTCCTTATGCATGAGAAGCGGGCGTCGTAACCTAGATCCGGATCACCGGATCACCAAGACATTATATTTGTAGCAGCAAGTTATAAATACTATGCACTCTGAGTACATAAAAATAGCTTGCACTACCTACTTGATATAATAATACTTTTTTTTATAATCCTGTACCCATAATTTTAGAACTTTAATGGAAAGTCTGATCAACAAGTACACCTACAACATGTACCTAAACAAATACGAAGCGAGCTCCTGTCAACTCCAGTTAATACAACATGGATTGATAAATCAGGCGTTATCATAATGATGATAGCATTAAACATTGCGTGTAACTACGTTGTACGTCATAACGAGCGGGTTGCATTAATTAGTCAGACAAAATAAGCGTTTTATATGTATTAAACCTAGTTTTCCAGGTGCAAGCGAAGTTATGCACCAGGGCACGGCCTAGGGCAGGAGAAAGAAATAAAGAAAAAGGATTTATTTTTGCGCACAACATACATGAAATTAAGAACTACAACAAAAAATTAATATAGAAAGCGAAGGTAATCAGGAAAATATAACAGGAAAAAAAAGAAAAACAAAACAAAAAACTTAAAATATTTGGGCTTAAATCAACAACAACTCCTGTCTATGGTCCACAGATAGAATAGAGAGTAATTGGCTTATTTATAGTCATGATCAACGCTACGAAGAAGAAGGTCCTCGTTGGCAGTAGCTGAGGATTTACCTTCAATAGTTTTCTGGCAGTCAAAGGCTCAAGAGCCCTCTTTTTAAGGAGAATCTTCTATCCCATGGTGAGGCGAGAGGGATTATCAGACTCTTACTGACTAAAAACCACATCATTCCTTCTACTACTCCAGGCTAAGGCCACCGGTAAACTTACTCACACACCTAACCGCAACACAAATGTTTTTACGGCAGTTTTCTGTCAGGTCGTGGTATCTCTCCAGTCGAGCTGACCTATTCACCTGAGTATAGCTTTGTGTGTCAAGCAAAACTAATACCTATTCCTTCAAGGAATATTTTATGCTAAATACACATATTATATAGGTACTATGTAAATTAATTAACTAACTACAGCTACGTACTGCGGTAAGATTTTAATTATAATTATTGAATTAATAATGTAATCCTAATTACATCCAACCACACCGGCTTCCTAGAATCTTCACAGCTCGAAAGGTTTGTCTATATCTGTACATCCCATCTTATTTCTAAATCTCGGGAGACTTATTTTGATTACAAGGATTTTAATTTCGTTAATTAATCAAATGTTCCATAAAAATGATTAAAAGATTAATTCCGTTGCGAACGATTAACTTTTATGGTTGACGATACGATGTTTAAAAGATTCATGCAGATTGAAATGAAGTAAGGTAGAAGAAGAAAGATAAAAAAAAACTTTTCTGATGTGAAAAAGTTCAAAATAATGAACAACCGGTTTTTTACACTGTAATTAACCTATAGGTGTAGGAATGATGAATAATTTCATTGGCTTTTATCATGGCTTTCTGTAATAAAACTTTGAATATTTAAGTTGAATCAATAAACGATTATGTTTCGCCTTGAGCAAGCGAGGTGATTAATGCTCAAACCTTCTCCGTGTGGGAAGAGACCTTTGTACCGTAGTGGAAACTGATAGGCTGTTAATATTTATTTTTTATTTTTTTTTCATGCACAAAACACATTACAATCAAATATTATTAGCTTAAAAACTAAAGGTTTTGATCTAGATAGTAACGTAACAATATGTGCATACTGCAAAATCACGAGTATTAAATATTAAAAAAGCTCAAAAAGGGACAAAAAGAAACAAGAAGTAAAAACTAAAAAACATAAAGTGACGTGTGTCAACACTGGTGCCTCTCAACAAAAATATGGGTTGATTAAGATCCTTCAGGCACAGTTTCCCGGGCCTGAAGAATCCACACCAAATTGACAATGGAGAATGCCTTTTATATCTGAGATGAATTTATTAATTAATATGACAATGAATAAATTAATTAGATATTAATTTACTATGTATATTTTCAACATTATTGCACTGCAAAGCTAACAGTTTGCACTTATTCTTTCAAGTTTGTTGAAGTCATTATCGCCGTCTGTATCACATTTTCTGGTTAGAAAAATAATGATATAGCAGTGACCACTGATCCCTTTTTCCTTAAAAGGTATCCCCAGCGTAATGTTAGTAATTAGTGTATCTTTATGTGTGTAGCCAAAAGTGTGGAAATGTGCCAAGAAAGGAACATAATCATATTCTGTAATGTCTATGAGTTTTGGCTTGCCAAAGTGTAGATAATGTTGTTTGGAGTATTTTTAGAGATAATTTCTTAGTGATATCAAAGACTGTTGTCTGTTTTTTGAAGGGGAAAATCATTAAAAGGCTTTCTCTAACCATCCCATTCTTTCTCCTGCTCCAGGTCGAGACTGCGGTGTGTGTTTTTTGACACAACAGTTTGTGGATCACAAAAAGGGTTGTTCCGTTCTTCTGTGCGCGAATCGAACCCGCGACACGCGACACGGCAGCCTGTTACCCAGCCAAACCGTGCAGTCAAGATTACGTTTGAGTCGCTTCAGCTGGGGTGCAAGATAATGCTTCAATCTATACTAATATTATATAGAGGTAAATTTGTATGTAGGAGTTTGGTTAATTTTGGAACAGCTAGTCGAGTTTCCTAAATTCTTTCACTGATAGATAGCTACAAGGTTATATTAAGTGCTTATAGGTTATAAATTATACTTGATTTGCTTATTTTTGTTGAGCTATTTCTTTAAACACTGGTCATTTTGATATGCCCAGAACATATTTATACATAGAAATGCCATAAAAACTTTATCCGCAAATCTCAAGACAAAATCTTTATCACATAACTTAGCACAGAAATGTTTAATAAAAATCTTCCACCTCACACTGGCGCGAAGCCAAATCTCGCGACAATATTACAACATATTTTATAGCGTTATTATGTAATAACACTATTCCATAGTGTCGTCTCCACGCCTAGGTATTTCCTAGACTGTCTGAATTGCTTAATGTTACTGCTACATTTCGGGTGGCAAATTTCATTTTAAATTATTTTAATTTTTAAATAGAACTCTTTCTCTCGTATTTATACATAAATGTGTGTTAAATAATGTATCCATGGGCTAAAAATATTTTTTAAAAGTAAATAATGATGATGGAGTTTCTTTTAATTGTGAAGAACAAATACAAGTTTTTTGGATTTTGAACGAGCACCTAGCTTTCTTGATGGATTTTGACGTTACAAAATAGTATCTGTCTCAAGTTGTAATAAAGATTTTAGACTTTTTACTTTGATAGTTCTGTTCTTTGGGATAGAGTGGCAAACGAGTACACGGTCACCATTCCAGGTTAGCAATCAGCACCGCCCATTAACACTCACAATACAAGAGTTACATACAAATGCGTCGCTGGACTACTTATAAAGGATAGAGGTTTAGTGATGTCTATCCAAAAAATCTAGGGTTGCTACTGTTTAATTAACATTCAATACTTTTTCGGTTGACATTAGTCTTAAACTAAACTAAATTATTAATTTACATACGGAAAAATACTCACATGTAGGGATGGCACACATCACGTCGGCCTTCATAAAAAATTAACAATTTTTCATACATATTCATGTGGTGGATTTTTATCGCGAATTTATTTTTCAATGGCTGCCGTGAATTTTTAAATTAAATTCAGCTTCCAATCACAACAGAAACAATATCAAAGGATAATCCACCAGTCAACCATCATATCAGGCGTTTTAATCTCCTAAGAGGTAGGTAGGTATTATGCAGTTAATAAAACAAATAATAACAGTCATATTAGATGATCACGATAACAGTTAAAAAAAAAGATTGAACTTCTGAGACAGATAATGTACAACAGAAGATAGGTCGGTAAACAAGCTTAACGATTACATGAAGGCTAAACAATCAGCCTCACCGATGGACTACACACACCAGGATTTGCCTCATACTAGGATTTCCTTTTAATTAAACTTGAAATTTAATTTCTCGAAATGTGCAAAGACATTACAGTACAACTCTTCCTACTTGGAGATTGAATCCAAGACCCTGAACAGCGTTTTTATGGGACGGGCTCCGCCACAATCTTCCTTAGCAGCTGCAATTGCTATGAACCAGAATCTCCAGTGGATACAACCATGAAAATACCGAAACACAGAAGAAATTATTTGAGGAGAAGACAGTGTTACAACAAGTCAAAGAAGCAAGGCAATTATTTTTTTGCGAAAAATTTTTTTTTTTTTTTTTAAAAAAAAAAAACGTTGCCCCACACTAGGATTTTCTCCTGTGTCGTGGGTGCGTTTACAAACATACAATTTCACATACACATGACACCCAGACCCGAAACAACAATTTGTGGATCACACAAAGTGCTGTTCCGTGCGGGAATCGAACCCGCGACACGTCGCACGGCAGCCAGTTGCCCAGCCACCGCGCCAATCGTGCAGTCAATAAAAAAAAATAACGAGAAAGAGTTTAAAATGTAATTGTGCTCCCGCAAAGAAGTTTGTAAACTTTTGAGATTGTTTATTCTGTCACGATGGAGGCGTGAGAAAAGGTAGTAGGTTGTCCTTGTAAGGGTAATATGAATGAGATAGCCTTGACAAATTTCTTATTCCAGGAAACGGTAAGAGATAATAATATGTACGTTTTGAATTAATTGCATGATTGTAAAAAAGAGCCTTGCTTCGGCACGAAAGGGTCGGCTAGAGACGAAATGATACCACGATCTCACAAAAAACCAGCGTGAAACTACTACAGCGCTGTGTTTCGCCTTGTGAGCGAGGTTACCGGAGACCGAATTCCCCTATCCCCCACCATTCCGTAAATCTCGGATCCTATTTATAAAAGCCCCGCAATGCACTCGTAACTTCTTTGGTGTTATAGTACCTATGGGCGGAGCCGATTGCTTACCATCAGGTAATCTGTTTGCTCGTTTGCTGACGTTTTTTTTAGCGATTGGCGATTGTATCACCTAGTACAAGATTCACCTGATGGCAAGTGAACAACGCGGCCCATGGATACTTATAACTTTATAACTACTTACGACACTAAAAGAGCAATCTTGATCTAAATTCATTTCTGCCAAACATTTTTCTAACCAAAAACAAGCATAGGTATTCAGCATATTATGGAAGAAATTCAGTTGTCAACCCGAACTTAGGAAACCTTACGAAAAAGGATCAAACAAAAACAAATGCCTATCATTCTAATATAAACTATATCATCACTTGTTTAAGTAACATTTTTATTTGTCTTACC